CACTAACTGCCTCTGCCTGCTGTCCAGTTTTCCCTAACTGCCCCCCACCCCACCAGCCTGATCACCCCTAAATGCCCCTCCCTGCTGGCCTGGTTGCCCCACACAGTCTGCTGTTCAGGCATTTGGTTGCTTCTCACTAACCCTTCTGCCGACCTGGTAGCCCCACACAGCCTGTTCGGTTGTCCATACAGTTGTTTCAGTTGTCATGGCCCCTAGCTTTTTATATATTAGGATTCTTCTATATATAATGACTTCAAATCAGCAGATGATTGGATCAAAAAACTATGGTACATCTACACAATGGAATACTATGCTGCCATAAAAAAGAAGGAATTCTCATCATTTGCAGCAACCTGGATAGAATTGGAGAACATGATGCTGAGTGAAATAAGCCAGTCAATGAAAGAGAAATACCACATGACCTCACTCATTTATGGATAATAAAGAACATTATAAACTGATGATCCAAAAGATAGATATAAAGACAATAAAGCAACAAGCAGACTGTCAAATTACAGCGGGGAGGGTAGGGAGATCTGGGGGTGATAAGAGATCAACCGAAGGACTTGTATACATGAATATAAGTACAACCAATGGACACAAAACTTTGGGGAGGGAGAGTATGTGAGGGGAGGGCAATGTTAAAATATGTACACAGATAATAATTTAATTAAAAAAACTAAAAACAAACAAACAAACAAAAAACAAATATTAGAGAGTAAGCAATATGGTTGGATCCTCCCATTCCTAACTGTAAAATATGTTTGAACAATCTTTTAAATGAAGGAAAAGATATTAGAGAACAAAGTCAGTAAACTATGGCCATGGGCCAAATACAGGTCAGAGCTTGTTTTTGTAAATAAAGTTTAATTGCAACACAGCCACATTTATTTTCTCAAATATAATATGACTGCTTTCACACTAAAGTAGCAGGATTGAATATTTGCAACAGAGACCTTCTGGCTTTCAAAAATTAAATTATTTTCTATCTGGACATTTCCAGAAAAAGTTTGTAAACTCCTGTATATAGAAAAAGGAAGAGAGAGCATTCTAGTCAAGAGCATAACCCTATATATGTCAAACAATATTATTCTGATAATCAAGGAACAATTTGCAGGTTAATCTCTAGGACTATTAATTTGAGTAATAAAAATTATCTGGAGTGTACTTCTGAGAAGGAAAATAAAGCTCAAATGATTCTTGAATTTTGTATAAAACAGCTCAGAGAAACTAGAAGCTGAGAGTTAGTGAAGAATTTCAAATGGAATTTACTGAATATAATTAATTATTATCATATAGTATTTGTTAATTTTTATTGTTACTACCTGTACATAATAGATTAATCTGGATATTATGTTTTATTTTTTTTAAATTCAGGTGCCAGTAATATTATTAGATGAAAGAAAAATTAGACATAGAAAGGAGCATTCCATGGATACAGGAGCGACTCTAGTCTTGGTGCAGTTATTTTTTCTTCTATTTATAGTGTCCTAAATTTTTACTAAAAATGGGTATTAAATTTTATCAAATGTTTTTCCTGGTTCTATTGAAATACTGATATTATTTTCACCTTATTCTGTTAATGTGATGTTATATTAATTTTCACATGTGAAAGCAATATTGGTTTCCTGGGATAATCCCCAATGGTCATTCTATATTTTCCTATCTAATAAAGAGGGAATATGCAAATTGATCATCATGCCATCACAAAGATGGCCGCACCTGTAGCCACAAGATGGTGGCACCCGTCCTCTCAGCCCTGCCAGAGTCCCCCAGTCCTTTCAGCCCCACCGGGGGGATGGCAGGTGCATGGTGCAGCTGGACCTGCTCTCAAGTGGGTCTGGCTGCTCCTTGTGCCTGCTGCTGGAGTCTCACAGTCCTTTCAGCCCAGCTGGGGGTGAGGGTGGGGAGAGGACAGGGAGCAGTATGTGCACAGTGTGGCTTTTTTTTTTTTTTTTTTTTTTTATCATCTGGCTACCTGTGCCTTTTATTTTATTTATTTATTTTTTTAAAATATATTTTATTGATTTTTTACAGAGAGGAAGAGAGAGGGATAGAGAGTTAGAAACGTCGATGAGAGAGAAACATCGACCAGCTGCCTCTTGTACACCCCCTACTGGGAATGTGCCCGCAACCAAGGTACATGCCCTTGACTGGAATCGAACCCGGGACCTTTCAGTCCGCAGGCTGACACTCTATCCACTGAGCCAAACCAGTTTCGGCAACCTGTGCCTTTTAAATAGTTGTAGACCATTTGCATTTAATGTAGTTATTGATACGTTTGAACTTAAATATACCATATTATATTTGTTTTTTAATTGTTTCATTTGTTTTTTTATTTTTATTTTTTCTTAATTTTTACACATTAATTGATTATTCAAAATTGAAGATGATTTTTTTTTTCTCTATTGGCTGACTAACTGTACCACTTTGTTCAATACATTATATAGTTGACCCTTGAACAAGATATGGGTTAAGGGCACCAGCCTCCTGTGCAGTTGAAAATCCACATAACTATAGTTAGCATATGTGGATTCCCAACCGTGGAGTTTACCCTTGAACAACACTGATTTGAACTGCATGGGCCAATTGAAAAAAAAAATTCCAGGTATACGTGGGCCCATGTTCAAGCCTGTGATGTTCATCTGTATTTTCTTTAAGCAGTTATCTTTTTAAAGAAATTTGTAAATTAGGGAAAAAAAATGTCCTTTATTAATTTATTTGGTGTTTCCGGCAATCTGTCTTTCTTTGTGTATTTTACTTGTCATTTTGTATTATTTTCCCCTTGCCTGGTGAAATTCCTTTAACATTTCTCATAACAGACCTGCTACTAATGAATTTTCTCAGTTTTCTTTTTTGTCTGATTTATCTTAAAGAATGTATTTGCTAGATGTAGAATTCCAGGTTTGTTTGTTTTTCTTCCAACAGTTTTAAAATGTTGGTCTGCTGTCTCTTGACCTCTCCTTTTCTGGATTAGGAGCTAATGGTCATTTGAATCATTTGTCCCATCCTCCCAGGCATTGTGTCATTTTACTATGGCTGCTTTTAAGATTGTACCTTTTTTTCTTTGGTTTCCAGCAGCTTGACTATGATCTGCCTAAGTGTAGTTTCTTCATATTTATCCACTTGAATTTTACTGATCTTTCTGAGTCTGTAAATTCTTTACCAAATTTGGGAACATTTTATCTTTATTTTTCAATATTGTTTCTGTCCCATTCTTTCTCTCTTGTCTTACTAAGTTTCAGAATCTGCCTGCTGTTTTGCACTATCAGTTTTTTCAGGTAATTTGTTTTGCATTTTGTCCAGAGTATATGGTTATTATCTACAGGAGAGCTAGTTTAATAAGAACATATTTGTTGGTGCCAGAGCTGAACTACATCTAAGTTTGTCAGGCCTACACCTCAGTGAAGCCCCAATGGGACACCTAACAGGCCCCTTTTTATTCATGCTGCCTACTTTCAGGAACTTTGTCCCAAAATTTCCACCTGCTTCAGCCTCCCCAAATTTCTCCTCATCTCAGTATGGCCAACTGAACCCTCTCTGCTTTCTCTCTCAGTATTTGGCACCAGGCAGAAAACCAGTATCAGTGTAGAGCTCATCTTAGTTTTCCTCCTTCTCTTAGAAATACCAGAAAGAGAAAGATAGAGAGAAACATTGATCTGTTACATTCCCTCCATGCACCAACTGGCTATATGAAGCAGTTGTTTCATATTTTTGCTCATTGTTTACAATCGGAGGTTAAGCTCAATTTTTGTTATTTCATCATAACTGGAAGAAGTGTAGATTTATTTTTTAAAATAATATTTGAGGGATACACTATATAATTATATACAGTTATATGTATTTAAAAGTACTGTTTCTAATTTTAAAAAGATAAATTCACAGTATTTGGAAAATATAGAAAAGAAGGCAATAAAATCATTCTAAAACCTAACCAACAATAGATAATTGGTATTAAGAGATCGATGTATTTCCTTGTAACTCTTGCAGTTTTTCTAGATTTTTTAACATTATAAATATGTATGTATTTGTGTATATATATATATATATATATATATATATATATATTATACTTTAAGGAATTATCATGTATCATATATCACATGTATAATTTACGTATATATAACATTTTAAAATGTTAATAAAATGTCACTTACAGATTATAGAAAGAAAATAATAGACCCAGCGTATGGTGACAGCTAATATCTGTTCCTGGATAATTTATTTGTCTCTCTCAATTAAGCAAAATTACTCAGGCCATGTGTTTTGACCATGCAAAAATATTTACTCAAGATACTTGGCGAGGTTTTTCACTGTGTGTCTCTATTTTATGGGGAAGGGTGAAGAAAGTTTCTCTTGGCAGAATGTCTCATGCAAATACTTTAGATACTTTTTGTAAATAAAAATAGCAGAAATATTGTATTATGTTAATATAAAAAATAACAAACAAGAGATTCAGCTCAACAAATCTGGGATAAATTATTGGTTAGTAGACACTGTACCTGGACCTGATAAAGGAGTGGAATCCCAGGAGACAGTTAGGAGAGAGTACTGCAATACTGAGCTTTCCTCCTGGGCTGCAGAACTCTTCAATAACAACTGGAGTAGATGTGAATATATTACAGGAGAAATTTTTATGCTTTTCCTTCAATTGCTGATTACCTTCTGCCTTTTAATTTTTATTTCATCCTAATTTTGATATTATATTTTAATTTTCTCCTCCATTTCTTTTTAAATTTCTTTTTCCCCTTCTCTTCCTTTTATCCTTTTCATCTTGTTTAGTCAAGTCATCTCAGACTTTTCTCTTATGACTTCCTACATCTGCTAAAAAGAAAACAAGATTTTTTATATTTTAGAGACCAAAAATATTATAAAATTTTCCTTCTGTTTTTTTTTTAAGAAAACTCTTTGCTTTTATTAAAAAAAAAAGTATATATTTTTATTGATATCAGAGAGGAAAGGAGAGAGCTAGAGAGATAGAAATATCAACAATGAGAGAGAATCATTGATTGGCTGCCTCCTGCACATCCCCCACTGGGGGGATCAAGCCCACAACTCAGGCCTGTGCCCTTGGCCAGAATTGAACCTGGGGCTTTTTAGTCCACAAGCGACACTGTATCCACTAAGCAAAACTAGTTAGGGCTCTTTCTGTTTTTGTAGTAGGTTGTTTTCAGAGGTTTATTCTTCTACTTGTAATCTAGGGAAATTTGTCCTTTCAGTTTTGTTTTTCCATAGATCCCATGTTGCTATCTTCCTGTTAACCTTTTCTTACACAAGGAAAATGTGTCCAGTCCTAGGGTTTGCCAGCAGACTAACAGGTAAGTTAATTTCCTTTGGCTTTGCATTGTCTCTGCTTAGGTATTGGTAAAAACTCTTGTCTCAAACCTGCAGCCAATGATGACAGGTGAAACTTAAGAATCACAGTCTAGTTCCTATTGTATTTCAGTTTTGCAGAAATGACTTAGGACTTCTTTTTTTAATGTATAATATAAAGCTAAGTACATACAAAAGAAAACTAAACGATACGATACTCAGTTTGCATTATTACAAGAGTTCTTCTCAGCAGGTTTTAGATAACAATGAGATTTTCAAATTGTAACAACATCACAATGCAGAGCCTTGGGCCTTATCCCCTAAACCTCTTCATCACAATCCTTAGTGTGAGGAGCTGGAAGTCCTGGATACCAACATTTTGAACAAATTCTGTACTAAGTACTGTGTAAGCTAAGAGCATCTGACTCCACTATTTGGAATGCAACTCAGTACTGCTTGTGCATCTCTACTTCTGATTCAGTGTGGCCTATTAATAGTGAGCTGTCGACCAAGAAATATTTATGGCTACAGGTATAAACCGGCCCCATATTTGGCCATCACAATAATCCAGCATCACAGGCGGTAGAAGCTGCCAAGTGTTTTATTTGGTAAGGACTTTTTGTCTCCTCCTTGTACCAATGGACAGACCACAGGTAAGGCTAATGAATTATTTAATTGTTTTCTGGTGAACAGGATTGCTTTATTTCAGTTCCATTATATAAGCAGTTCCTAGGTTGTAACTTTTTCTTCTATTCCTTTGGTCTGAAAATTAGAGGAAATTCTGCCCAGCATTTACCTTTATTCATGTCTAGATTCTCAATTTTCATAGAAGGTTGGAAGTGGTTATGTTAGGGTTTATTGGCTAGATGCCTTTTTTTTTTTTTTTTTTTTTTTTAAATCCTCACTGGAGGACATGAGTAGAGGAAGGGAGAGAAAGAAAGAGAGGGAGAGAGAGAGAGAAAAATAAAGAGAGAAAAATTGACCTGTTACCTTCCCTATGTGCCCTAACTGGGGATAAACCCATAGCCCAGGTATGTGCCTTGATTGGGAATTGAACCTGCAATCTTCAGTTCACCGCATGATGCTCAACCAACCGAGTCACTCTGGTCAGGCTAGATGCCATTTGAAATTAGAAATTCTGATAGGTATATACAAATACTTGCTTATCTTTGAAATTGAGTTGTAGCAAATTTACTTATATTTCTTATATTTTGTATTATTTATATTTAAAGATCTTTTCTATTTTTAAAGATATTTTTAAGTGAAAAATATAGCAGATTTAAACTCATTAATTGAAACTGACCTTTGTTAACATTCTGCCATATTTATTTAATCAATATTGTGTAAAGAAAACAAAGGTGAGCCAATATAGATAAATACATTATTAACTAAAGTTCATAGTTCACGTTAGAGTTCATTTTTGTGTTGTAATATCTGTTTTGACAAATGTATAGTAACATGTATCCACCATTATAGTATCATACAGAATAGTTTTACTGCCCCCCAAATCTCCTGGGTCCCACCTATTTGTCTCTCCCTACTTCCTCACCAATTTCTGGCAACCACTATCTTTTTACTGGCTCATAGTTTTTCTTTTTCCAGAATGTCATGTAATTGAAATAAAACAGTATATATAGCCTTTTCAGATTGGCTTCTTTCACTTAGCAATACACATTTAAGTTTCCTCACTGTCTTTTAGTGGCTTGATAGCTCATTTCTTTTATTACTGAACTAGAGTCTTGGTGCATGAATTTGTGCATGGGTGGGCTCCAGCCTTCCCACCCTGATTGGGATTTGGGGGGTGGGGGGGCAATCTGGGGTGGGACTGGCTAGGGCAACAGGCCACAGGTGGTTGGTAGGCCTGCCCCGCCTCCTGGCCAAACTCTTGGTCAAGGGCACATTTTGCATATTAGCCTTTTATTATATAGGATGATATTCCATTGTGTAGATGTAACACAGTTTATTTATACATTAAAGGACATTTTTGTTACTTTCAAGTTTTGGCAATTCTGAATAAAGCATTTGTTTGGCAACTATGAATACATGTTTAGGTATTGTATGAACATGAGTTTTGAACTCATGTGGGTAAATACCAAGGAGTGATATTGCTGGATCATTAAGAATATGTTTAGTTTTATAAGAAGCTACAACTGTCTTCCCATTTTGCTGTACCATTCCTTGTCTTTTACTTTTTATCACATAGATGATTTAAAATTTAATACAGTCAAATGTATAAATTTTGTGGTTTATAAATTTTATTGATTTTTAGAGAGAGAAAGAGAGAGATAGAGAGACAGAAAAATTGTATTGATTTTTAGAGAGAGAAAGAGAGAGATAGAGCGACAGAAAAATCAATCTGAGACAGAAACATTAATCTGTTGCCTTCTGCATGTACCCCAGGGATGCAACCTGGGATGGAACCCACAACCTGGGTATGTGCCCTGACTGTAAATCAAACCTGACACCTTTTGGTGTATAGGATGACATTCTAATCAAATGAACCACACCAGCCAGAGTGGTTTATAATTTTTGCATTTAAAAATAATCTATAAAATCATAAAAATATTCTGTGAAATTTCTGTAATTATTAACTTTAAATTTGTTTTTATATTAATTTCTTGAATCTGGCATTCTCAGCTTTCTGCATTCTGTCCTCAAACTAATTCTTTCTCTTATCTCCAATACTAGAGGCCTGGTACATGAATTCTTGCATAGGTGGGGTCCTTCATCCAGGCCTGTGATCAGGACAGATCAGGGCCATCTTGTCCAATCCCGATTGGGGCCAATGGGGGCTGGCCAGCTGGGGAGGGACTGCAGCAGGGCTCCAGGGAATGTCCAGTCCATCTCATTCAGTCCCAATTGGTTGGACCCCAGCAACATGCTACCCTACTGGTCAGAGCGCCTACCCCCTGATGGTCAGTGCAAGTCATAGGGAGCGGTTGAGCAGCCTTAGCCTATTGTTAGCATAATACACTTTGATTGGTTGAACAGTTGACCAGTAAACCAGATACTTAGCATATTAGGCTTTTATTATATAGGATAATTCCTCTATTGAGGCTACATCAATTGGCCTATTGACTCTAAAATGAGTCATGAACAGTCCCACTTCTATGCTGTTTCTTCTGTCTTAAGAACTCATCTTTGTCTAAGTTTAAGTTCTAACCTTTCAAACTCAAACTAAGTTCATCTTCACATTGCAACTTTTTCTGACCTCCCTTCAATTGCTCTTAAGACCTTTTTCATATTTTTCAGATCCAGGATACAATCCTATCTAATGAAAGAATAATATGCAAATTGACTGTCACTCCAACACACAAGATGGCTGACCCCATGTGGTCAAAGATGGCTGACCCCATGTGCACATAAGATGGCAGCTGCAAGATGGCTGGCAGGGGAGGGAAGTTGTGGATGATCAGACCAGCAGGGGAGGGCAGTTGGGAAGTACCAGGCCTGCAAGGGAGGACAGTTGGGAGCAATCAAGCCTGCAGGGGAGGGAAGTTAGGGGTGACTGGGCTGGCAGAGGAGGGCAGTTGGGGACAACCAAGCCTGCAGAGGAGGGCAGTTTGGGGAAATCAGGTCTGTAGGAGAGGGCAGTTGGAGGGGACCAGGCCTATAGGGGAGGTCAGTTGGGGGTGACCAGGCCAGCATGGAGAGCAGTTAGGGGCAGTCAGGCCTGCGGGGCAGCAGTTAGGTGTTGATTAGACTGGCAGGGGATTGGTCAGGGGGTGATCAGGCTGGCAGGCAGAAGTGGTTGGGGCAATCAGGCAGGCAGGCAGGCAGATGAGCATTTGGAAGCCAGCAGTCCTGGATTGTGAGAGGGATCCCAGATTGGAGATGTGCAGGCTGTGCTGAGGGACCACCCCTCACTCCCGCCCTCCTCCTCCCCCCCAATGCACGATTTTCATGCATGGGGCCTCTAGTATTAACATGTTGGTCAATAATTTATGAGTATCCTATTGCTAATTTAAATATCAGAAAGAACCAGACATGGAGAAAAATACAGCATTTCAGAGATTTTCCAGATGGAATTTTATTATTTACTTATATATTGTGGGAACTCATGATGTTATACACCTCTACTAATTCTTTCATTGTAAGTGGTTTTCTATTTAACTATCTTGGAAAAGCAATGTTCACATTTTATTTCTTCTTAAGAAGTAATGCTTGGTTTAGGCATTCAATAGATGTCATAATAATGCTCTGCAGTTAAAGAATTATTCCATCTAATATCCATCACTATGCAGTTTTTGGTAGATAGTAGATTAAAATATTAGTTTATATTATTTTTTCCCCACACAAGTGGTATTTCACATGTAGTGTGAGAAGCTACAGCCCTAATGGTCTTCAGTAGAGCAAAAGTCAGTCTTCCTGTTCTAGAGAAGCTCATATTCTTGAACTCAATGTGGCTTACTAAATTCAGTTTAGATCTAATCTGTTCACATATTACAACACATTTCCTAGACTAGTTCTAGTCCTCAGATCTCCCCACACACTACTCAGCTTTTCAGAACCAGATCAAGTATTGCTGCTTCAGTGAAATCTCCCTTGATTCTAATTAACTTCACACTTAATACATGTTTCAATTAGTGCATTTGTACTATATTTACTTTTACACTTGTCTCTTCAATTAGATAAACTCTTTAAGGAAAATGTTTGTAGTATCTCTTTTCATCGCCTGCATTGACAAGGACTCATTAGCCACTCCAAATAGGATTATTCAATGAATAAATAATCCATAGATATTCTCAGAATATTATAAACTGAAATTATTATTATTATTATTATTATTATTATTAAATAAATAAAGATTTCTGATTTAGTGTGGGTAATCCAAGCCCAAATAGCTTTTTCTCTCATTTTATGCTCACTTTCTTCATCCATTTACACATGTATCTTGGCTATAGAGTATCCATAGGATTTGATGTCTGAAAAAGAAGACAAACTACCATCTACTCTCCATGAACATTCCCTGGAGAATTCTTGCAAATTCTGCATAGATTTTTGGTGTGCCAGTGCCCCTGGCAGTCATGTTTCCTATCAGTTAAAACCACACATTTTATCTCACAATTCAATAAAAAGCTAATTTTCTACTAAAACTGGGATGCAAGCCCTGTACCAGTAGGGAATTTAGAGAGGGGAGAGAATCTTTACTTTCTATTAAGCTATCAGGAAGATAAAGTAGACTCAGAATCTACTGAGTCTCAGAGGTAGAACACTGATTGATAAAGGGAAGATTCTTCCCTAGCCCTGCCCCACATCTTCTGTCATTTCCTATCACTTTCTAAACAAGGGACCATTATAATAGAGATAGCTTAATTTCTCCATAGGTATTCCTATGAATATTTGAAATTGCATGTACTTTTTAAGCTTACCTATTTTTTTTAAATACTTCCCTCACTTGTTTGGCTCAGTGGATAGAGCATCAGCCTGTGAACTGAAGGGTCCCAGGTTTAATTCTGGTCAAGGGCACATGCCCAGATTTCTGGCTTGATCCCCAGTAGGGGGTGTGGAGGAGGCAGCCAATCAATGATTCTCTCATCATTGATGTTTCTCTTTCTCTCTCTCCCTTCCTCTCTGAAATCAATGAAAAAATAAAATAAAATAAAAAGAAACAGGCAACATTCCTTTAAAATAAAAAATAAATACTGAAGAAACCAAGAATATACACATAAATGGTATTGAAAGAACCCATTCTAATTGCAAAATATTCTAGTTGAAAGTGGTTTCAGAAATCATATTCTTTAAAGTTTCTTTTGACATTTAAGAAAAAACAACAGGCTCAAAGAGATGTTATGACTTTTCTCAAGGTCATCCAGCCATAGTTTAATTCTTGGACTTCAACCAGTTCTTTTGAGTGTCAGACCAGTGGTCTCTTTTTAAAAAAGTGATGAAATTTAGGGCAAGATTGTAATAAACACCAATAATTTGGTATGAAAGAAAGTTATTAAAAATAATTTGGGGCCAAAGTTTTGAAATGATATGCATTCTCCTCAGACAGTATGTGTATAAATAAAATTGATTGAAGTTAGAAATGTTATTGGTGTGTAGCCAAAATAAAATTACTATCAAATGTAGAGTGGTGTAAGTTAAATGAATGAATTCAGTTAATATGTTTAGATCTTTAAATAGCTCTGTGCCTGTTATTTTTTAAGTCCTCTTTGTTAACTTGTTAATTGCTGAGTGATATATAAAGAGAAATGGCCAAAAAAATAGATGAAAGTAATCTTCTCATGATGATAATAATTTCCCCCCGGAAATAACTATTCTTGCTAACACAAAAATTCTTTGCATGTTTAAGTCATGTGGAATCTCTCTATCTTATGATTTAAAAATCCTAGACTACATGGATGATTATAACTTAGGGCCATGAGGTTTTATTTTCTTTACTTATACTCAGATAATTTTATCTTAACGTTAAAAACCAAGTCAGATACATGTATGTCTTAGCAAATGTCTTATTGCCAAGGAGTACTCTATTGATTTTGTTCCTATAATAAAAGCACATAAAAAATGTTGCCAAAGGAAATAGTTCATGTCTAAAAAATGTATGCAAAAATATTACATTTATTAATTTCCTCTGGAAGTATGTGTAAACTAGACATCCGTTAAAATCATCATTGGAAATTTCTTTTAATGCTGGGCCAATCTGAGAAAAAAATTGATGACCAAAGGTCTTTTGTTTGCCTTTTGTACCTTTCCTCATCTCAAATACCTCATGCCTCCTTACAATTTCTAGAAGCTTGACTTATGGAAACACCAGAGTCTAACTTCCTGCATTGATCCTCTTATAAACCTTCTACATCTCACATCAGAATATATACTTCCCTATAACTCAGGTTCTTAAAGCTGCGATAAGAATCATAAAATTTATTTTTGGATTAATGTATTATTTTCTCATGTAATTGTCATGGAAATGTGCATATAACCAAATTTTGATGGAGGTACAATATTTTAATCCAAGGCAGTAGATTTTAACTTAATCCAAAACAGTAGAGATTAACTTTAAAACAGTATAGTCAATGCCAATAATTTGCGACAGGCCAAAGGAGAGATATATTTGGGATATCAGTCACTCTTAAATCATAGACTACAAAGGGAAATTTCTACCTGAGGTATGCCATGTTGTATGTTGGGGTTCTCCAGAGAAACAGAAGCAATAGAATATATATTTATAATGAGATTTTTATAAGGAATTGGCTCATGTGGTTATGAAGGCTAAGTCCCAAGATCTGAAAACAGCAAGCTAAAGACCCTGGAGAACTAATGGTATAATTCTAGTCCAAAAGCCTGTAGGCTCAAGTCTTAAGAAGAGATTAGCCAAAGAACATATATTCATAGTCTATGGACACAGACAACAGTGTGGTGTAGGTGGGGGTTGGAGGGTCGGGGGCTGGATGCCCTAGGTGGAGGTTGTTATAGTTAGGAGGGAAATGTGAGACATCTATAATAGTGTCAATTAAAAAAATCTAAAAAATAAAGTGCACAATTAAAAGGAGTATGAAGACAGGAAAAGACCTATGGACCAGCCCTGTAGTCAGGGGAAGGAGTTCCCTCCTACTCAGAATATTTGTTCTATTTAGATCTTTAATTATTTGGATGAGCCTACCTGTATTAAAAGGGACAATCTGCTCTATTCAGTCTATTGAGTAAAATATTAATCTCATCTAGAAACAGCCTCATAGTCAAACCCAGAGGAACAATAAACCGAATGTCTGGACGCCCCATTGCCAATCAAGTCGGCATACAAAATTAACCACAGGTAGACAAAGGTTTGGTTCTAATCTGCAAGATTCCAGAGAGAAGAACTGGGAACAATGGGCAACACTCATGGGAGGCTGATTTGGGCTCATTATAAGAAGTTTATAATAGTTGCAACCATATAAGAAAGAATGAAATGTTTTATAAGAGAGTAAGCTTTGCCGAAACCGGTTTGGCTCAATGGATAGAGCGTCGGCTTGGGGACTGAAGGGTCCCGGGTTCAATTCCGGTCAATGGCATGTACCTTGGTTACGGGCATATCCCCAGTAGGGTGTGTGCAAAAGGCAGCTGATCGATGACTCTCTCATCGATGTTTATAACTCTCTATCTTTCTCCCTTCCTCTCTGTACAAAATAAATAAAATATATTATATTAAAAAGAGAGAGAGAGAGAGTAAGCTTCCAGGTCTTCAAGCTTTTAATTGATTGGTTAGATAAAATTTCTTCTCTGAGTGAAGGTTGCCTACCCTCTTCATGGTGTGTATTCTTCAGAAAATTGTGCTATGCTCAATATTTAGGGAACCAGTTTTGTTTTCATGTAATCTTCTGTTCTCTGTATGGCAGCCAGGGAACTCTCTTAAAAATTCTTAACTGATTGTGTAGGTGATTTGCTAAGGAAGTTCTTCCAGAAGTTGATGAGAGTGTCGGAAAGAGAAAAAGTCAAGCCAAGTCTCATCCTTTCTCTAGGAGAGATGAGAACAGGAGTTATTACATCACAGAGCTGACCCCATAAGCTATAAGTTACCTTGATAGCCAAAATTGCCTAGGCACTCCCAGCTCTCTGCACCTGTGGATCAAGCAGCTCCAGTCATCCAAGGACAGACCCCTTGAAGCAAGATGTGTGAGTAAGCCTTTGGGAGCACAGTACGGAGTAGCTGGGGAAGAGACACAAAGAAAAATAAAAAATATTTACATATAGAAGAGGACTCAGAAGGATCGAGGCAGAGGATTGACAGTGTTCTCATGATGTTTTATTTTAATCTGGGATGATACATGGCCCAAAATGTCAATTTCGTATTGAGGTTGAGAAACTCTGCAGATTACCAATGGATCAATTAATGAAACAACTGTTCAAAACCTTGTTACAAAAGGCAAGTCCTGATATATTAGGTAGGCTCCTTTTGAGAAGAATGCATTTGTTTATTCTTGAAATAAATAACAAGATCACTGAGCTACAAGGAACTTCTATGTTGCTGAGTTTCTTGAGGGGTGGGGATTTGTTTGTTTTTTCAAACAATCTGACAGTTGAAAAAAAACACGTGGGAGGTGGAGAAATGGGCTTCCATTCAGTTCTGTTTTTCTGGAGCAATAAAAGGAAGATTGATGTCTTGCTTACTATTTAAAGGCCAACATTGCCACCTGCTATCTTAGGGCAGCAAGCAGCCTTGTTGGCACCCTTGTGCTTGGTGAGAAAATGAAGGAATGATGAATAGCCAGTTCCAAAAATCATTCAGGGCACACAGCAGTGGCTGGCACAAGATGAAGTGCTTGCAAAAGAATTAGAATGGCAAGTTGAAGCTCCCAGACCATTGATCAAATTTGATTGTAGCCAACAATCAGTGTTTTGCTTCTGGCGGCTAGAATCTCACTATCCTTTCTGATTCAAAAGGAAGCCAAGTACCATTCATCTGTTTACACAAACCCTGTACAACTACAAATAGAATGTACAAAAGTTGTTCCTTTGGGGTCCAGGCATCTATGTACTTCCCACATACATAAGCCAAGAAATTAATGTGTTCACTATTTTTTATTGCCTTGTGGAATCTTGCTACACACTTACTAGGAGTATGACTTAAACTATATTTCCAACCTGCATAGAGAAGATAGAGAAGAAAATTTAGAAACAGTTGTTCACTTTATTATTAGCAGAAACTGAGACCTTTCAGACCCATCATGAATGTAAGAAGACCACTCTATAGAATCATCATATTTCATTTTACAGATTTAATGGAAAAATTGATTCACCCAATAGAGTGAAACTCTCAAAATTAAGTCTCTTCAGAAGGGTTTGAGTCCATCTATTAATATAGGGGTTTTGCATCATTTTACAATGCTCTCTGGCCTTTCTGATGATTGATCATTTCTGTGCCAAATCTGCACATTTACATACGTCTTTTATTGCAGTTATCATGCTGTTTTATTATTATTATTTACAGAAACATCTTCTTTAGATTTTAGACCTTTGGAGGAAGTGGCTTCTGTCTTACTCAATTACTTAGCTGCAGCCCTTAGTATAATACACATATAAGTGCCAGTAAACGTATTAGATGAGCAAATTAATAAATGAAAACTGTAAAGCAAAAGACTGGAATAAGTTAGTCCCCCAGATGCCTTACTGCATCTGGTAGACAGTTATAAAATGACTTTCAATGTTTAGATTCATATAATTTCTTCTCTTGAGAGTGGATGGCACCCATGAATATAAGCATCACTCATGTAATTATGGTACATTATATGACAAAAGGGATCCCTGAAAATGTAATTAAGGTGATTAACTTAAAATACAGATTTAAATACTGCAGATTTTGATTTTAGTTTCTGAAAATTTTACAGATGTACTTACGGTTACTGAACAGCTGACTTTAGGTTAATCAAAATATAATGTAGGTGAGCTTGAACTAATCATATGAGCACTATAAATTTGAATCAAGAGGTCAGAGACAGAAGTCATGACTAAAAACAGCAGAGAGCTTCTTTTGCTGGCCTTGAATGAGCAACAGCCATGTTATAGAGAGGGCCATTTGTCAGAGAATGATGAGCATCCTCTCGAAGCTGAGAGCAGCCTTCCTTGAATCAGTCAAGAAAAAAGACTTGCATCTTAAAATTGTAAGAAGTTGAATTCTGCATGAGGGCTGAGAATATGCATGGTTCATTGATGTATCATTAGGGCCAAGAAGAGTCCTTGGCTCAAAAAAGATTTTTGTAAGTATTTGCCAAATGAATCAGTGACTTTTGAATTGGATTAAATTGGTTTTTATATGCTATTGCTGTTCTGATTGGATTAGAGGGAGTAAGGAAATATTAAGTAAGATGATTTTCATTGAGAAATACGCATTCTATTATTTTTCTTATAAAATACAGATTAACATATAGAGAAGGAAAAGCTGAAAAAGGCTGCCTTCCTTCCCACAGTAGACTGTTGAGTGCTCTCAGGGGAATACCATGAGCATTGGATTTAGACAAATTTGTGTTTAGAACCAGGGTTCGTTCAGTGACTTACTGGCTGGCATTACATTGATTACCCAGCTCCTCACCCGTTGATAGGAATTAATAATATCTACCTTGTAGAGTTGTTGCAAGAATTAGAAATAATATATATATATATATATATATATATATATATATATATATATATGATGTTTAATAAATAGTAATGTAATTTTAGGACTGACTTAATGACTTTGGTACTTTATTCTTATTTTCTCATATCCTTAAGTAAAATCAGCTTTTAATTTAAATGGTCATTGACTAATTCTTGTTGAAAATGTGTATGTGTGTTGCTTTAGATCCTTATCTACAAGGTAATCTTCATCATAGGTGTGCATAAAGTTAATTTAAAGTTTAATCAAAGTGTAACACAGATGGGTACAATATGAAGTATTGGAAGACATATGTGAAAATGTGGGTTTCAGGACATGCAGCACGACCTTAGGCAATTTATGCCACTTCTCTCTGCAGAAAATTCAAATGGCTCCTATTTGGCCTTGGGATAAAATAAAAATCCATACTAGTACACTAGGGCAAGAGAGGTTCCTGCCTTTGGCCTTGAATTACAAAAGACCTCACTCTAGCACTATTTTATCTATGCCCTCTCTCATAGGGCAATGGGTTTGTGGGCCTAACAGGATATGCCCACCTGGTACCTGTGCCTACCTTTGAGATCATATTTAAGGTAGTCAGAACCCGTATCTCTGTATTCTTGATTGATACAGACCTGAGTCCACTTACAAGGACTGCATGGTCTTTTACCTTGGGTTGGTCCTGCATGACACACTTCCTTTTCACCCTGTGAGTTAGCTGTTTTCTCTGCTGGAACACCTTCCCAACTTTCATATTGCCCAATCCACCAATCAGAATGAATCGCTTAATACTCGACTCTATGTTTTATATCTGTGTGCTATATTTTGGCTGTTTGTTTGTCAGCCTCTATGCTAGATTTTAAATTTACGGAAATAAAGTTCTCCTTATTCATGATGTTATTCTATACAGTGGACATTTCAGGACCTTCTACATATCAAGCACCCAGATAAACTATGGCAAATGAAAGGATAAAATTTTTCTAAGCCTTGGTTTCTCACCTCTAAAAAGTAGAGTCTTACATAGATTATAACAAAGGTTACTTCCAGATCTAGTATTTTGTAGTGCTTTATATAAAAATTTTAAGAGATTCTAGTGGCCAGAGGCACAATATTAAAATGGTCAGTATAATAGATTCCTAGAAATGATGTAGACTGAGAGAGTGGGAGTCAGAGTAGGGATTCACCTGTCACATCCTGGAGAGATGGTCACCCAGCATTTTGCTTTGTTTCTCTCTGAAATTTAAATGATCAGAAAATCTTTCCTCCTATGGAGCCTTGTGCAAGTATCATTTCATATAGACCAAATATTTCCAATTTTGTCTCCTCAACCGAGTGTATTCCAAACCCTCACTCCATATTCCAAATGCTGGCTGGCCAGTACTGTAAACAATGGATTTTGGAATGCCTTGCCTAGGTGCTTTTTCACCTGTGAAAACATGTCAGGATAACTGTTTTACTACATTGTTTTTATTTTCAAGGGCTTCACACTGTTGGCTCATATTGAGTTTATAGTTGAGTAAACACTAGATTTTGTTCACAGAAATTACCATTAAGTCTGGTGTCTCCTATTCTTTTAGAGGATCTTGGAGCCAAATATGCCAACCTGTCATGATATTTTAAGAACTTGATCCAGTCACCCCTTATATTAACCATCTCCCCCAGCTTTGTATTGGCTGCAGATATCATAAGCAGGCCCTCTTGTCTTCATTGAAGGTACTAGTAATTGAACATAAGAGACAAGAATAAAACTCTGCAGCATGTCATCAGAACAATGGTTTTTAAAATTATACTTTTCCAGATACTACTTCCATAAATAAGATGCTAAAGGAAAAAATGAGGAAGTATTTTTCATGGTCAGATAAGTCTGAGAAACACCACAGGCTGTGTGCCCTTTCTTGGGAAGTATCATTGCATGTTACAGGATTCTCGCAGCAAAGAGAAGTCTTATTTAACTTCAATTAAACCGACACTTCCCGAGCTTATTTGTGTCAGAAAACCAGTTTGGTAATTGTTGTTTTGATTAGTTTGTTTTGATATCTTGCATATTCCTGATTCATGGAAAATACTTTAAGATTCAATCCCATCTAACTGCAATGAAGTGTTTAGTATTTTATCATGAAGGACCCAAATGAATAGGTATGTGATTTCAAAAATTCGTTTTAGCCTTTGTGAGCTTTCAGATGAAGCTCTTTTCTCTTCTCCCTCTATGCTGTTCAACATGATTCCTTAAAGACTCTGATTTAACACTCTGGGCTATATAGATCTTACCATTAATGTATTTTTCTTATTCTATCTTGTACCTCATTTTCCTCTTCTCTATGATTCTTCTTCCTTCAGTTTGAAAATAATTTCTCTTGATACAAAATTTGGTAACAAATCAATAATTGGGAGTTTAGTCTTTCACTAACATTATTCTGCTCACCCAGATGCATTAGGATCTTTATGTTTTTCTCATTCTGGGCAGAACTAATCATAATTTTTCTAAAGGTCATTTAAGTTCTATATTTTATTTTTGTACTCCACAGACCACTTTGGACTTTGA